GGTCTTCAACCAGTTCTATCGAGGCACAACAGAGTATTCCTGGTTCCCCCATACGGTATTTCTCGAAATCAAGGATGGCCTCCAACAGTGCTACTCAAGAGATATTTGTCATGTCACTTCAAAGATGAAGACGTTTGCTGTTGCAAACTAGAGTGAGCCGAGGCTGACTCCCAGCACCATTGCCCGGGACGCGGTCAAGACCTTGCGAGACACTTCCGAGTTCGCGGCAGGTATCATGTCGAGGTCATTTTCGACCTGCCGTGCGCGTGTCTAGTGAAGGCTAGCGTGGCCTTACAAGCATACCAAAGTCCGGTTCGTGCTTCAACACCAAGAGTCATGGCTGCACCCCCTGATGCTGTCCGACGTCTTACGCAAAACAAGGCAGGGCTGATAGCACCAGGCAACCTAGCGTCACAAAACAATTTCTTTTCCCAAAAACCTCACGTCACACAGCCTGTCTTATGCTCATGGTCCATCGACTGGAACATAAAGCTCAGCAACCGAATTGTATGTGCCATTCTCAAACCCTACAGGCCTGCAGATATCTACGACAGTTTATGCTTGGATTTCCTTTTCTGCAAACATCGTTTCCCACCGACCGCTACCTTTCGCAACATCGTTTCTCGACCCCTTATCCCGAAAAGAAAAACGCCCCTCACAGCGCAGCAGCGACACCGAGAACGCCAACCAAGGCCCCAACAGCATACACGTTGGCCCCGGCACGGCCAGCCAGGCTATCACCGTCCTCACCGCCCGTCTCCTGCGCGCCGTCCTCGTCCGTCTCGGTCCCCGTCGTCTCGGTCGTGCTCGTCTGCGTCTGCGTCTGCGTCTCCGTCTCCGTCTCCGTCACGGTCCCGCTCGTCTGCTGCGTCGCCAACGCGGGAAAAGACAGTGTAGCCAACCGACTCAGTTGTCGTCGTGCCGTCCCCCGTGAAGACGTGCCTCGCCTCGGTCGAGCAGATGACGCTGCCGGCGGGCCCGTCGACGAGGTCCGTGCAGTCCGCCGCGAGGGCGGCGAGCTCGCTGCGGCGGTCGGAGACGAAGGAGGCGACGGCGGACTCGTAGCCGAGGACGTCGGAGGAGAGGCTCGCGGGCCAGGTCAGGGCGCAGGGATCCTGGGAGGGGCTGGTCGTCGCGGCCGTGAGGGCGAAGGAGGCGGCCCCGGCCGGGAGGGTGGGGAGGGCGGCGAGCAGGGACAGGGCTGAGGCGGCGCAGGCGGCGGAGCCGTCGGCTGCCTCGCCCGAGGACGTGGTTGTTGCTGGTATGGACTGGGTGACTGTGCTGGTCTCTTCCTGGGAGAGGGCGCGCGACACCAGGGCGGCGAGGAAGAAGGACGTGGCTGGCTTCATGGTGGTGGACGTGATGGTGGCAGGTGAGTTGCAAGACTTGGGGAGACACCAGCTGTTGGAGATGGAAGATCAAAGATGAGAAGAAAAGGAGGACAGCACACAGCGACATGGCTCGACGACCGACAACTCGGTTGATATACCTCTTCCTCCGCTCTCCAAGCCCCGGCACACCTCAGCCCAGCCCAGCCAGCCCGACCATGGGAGAGAACCCACGCCGCCCAGGGCCGAGCATGCAGCACAGCACTCGTGTCAAGCAGGCAAGAACACAGCGTCCGCACCCGTCAACCGTCAGGCGGACCCGTCCCAAGAGCGAAGGATGGCGGCTGGGGGGCTCAGCCAGCCGGGATCGTCACGCATGCGACGTCGTCGGTTGGACACGAGCCGTCGCGCCGTTCCCTTCTTCCCCACACATAATATGCCCAAATGCTCCGAGTTGGAGACTGCCAAGGCCTTCTTCTGGCACCGCCGAGACCTTGGTGTCGGGAGGTATGACGTCGCGGCGAGCCGGCCGTCTTGGCTGGCTGTGCTTGGTCATCTCTCTACATGCGCGGCGCGGGCGCGTTCGCGCGCCAGTGCAAGGTCAACTCTTGGGTGTATGCGGCCAATAGCTTTCTCGATACAGCCATTACTCTGTCCTCTTTTTTTTTTTTTTGGCCAACCGATACGTGCTCTTGGGGATGATCGGTCGGTGCTCAGGTGGTGCTCAGGTGGTGCCCTATGAGACCAGTACATGTTTCACCCAGAACGACATTGCGCCCCCGCAAGTAATCTGGACATGTCATCGATGCCAGTGATCGAAAGCCGCAGAGGCGCAACAGATCGCGGCATTGGCGTCCTTCTACTCTATCGGAGCCGTGAAGTCTGAACTCGTCGCCATAATACCATGCTTCGACCTCGCCTGACCACAGCAAGGCGTGTTAGCAAGCCTCTCCAACGTCACACGAGAGGCCGTGGAAGGAGGCTCGGTGTGCCGTCAGCGTCAGAAGGTTGCGCAATAGGCAGAGATCTTGTGACAGTTGTCAAGCAAGGACCCGAGGATCCCTCTCTCGCCAGTCGACGACCTGCCCGTTTGCGCGAGCGGCTCACAGGCGTAGCCGGGAAGACTCGGTCCTTTCTCCCCAGTTCTGACGTCCAGTGACGTGCCTGACAATGGCACCTTCAGATAGAAGAAATCGTGGGGCAATGTCGTCTTACTTGATGCCGACTGGCTTGTCGTTCAAGACGCATCTATGCAAGCTCAACCTGAATGACGCAAAGTCAGCTCGTTAACACGACGCGACGGCCCATAATGCAGAAGCAAGCGCGAAACTTCTATAGCTACAAGAAGCTGCAATTTTCAAATCATACACATCACGTCACATCACTCTTCAACCAACAGAGTCAAGCAGGAAAAAGGCACCTTGCATTCACTCCACCGTCTACCATGGATCCAAACGCCTCCCTAGGCCGGGAAACAAAAAGTCTCGAGAAGGATGGAAACAAGAAAGAATCGAAACCAAACAGGCATGAGTGTGAAGAACCCAAACACACCTTTCAGCAAAAGAAGGAGGGCACGATAGTCCATGTCGTTCCTCGAGAACCGAAAAAAAGAACTCCTCTTTCCGAAATTGAAAAAAAAAAAAGCTGGGCCGGCGCAGGTACCACGCCCTGCAACCGACGTCCTGGCCAGAAAACACGAGGGAAAAGGACAGAGCACAACTCTGCTCTGCGACCGCCTGCCACACCCAAAAGTGTGACATCGAAAGCCAAGGTAAAAGAGCGAAACCAG